CAAGTGTTTGCAGATGATTTCCTTAATTACTTGATGCTGATGGAAAAAGATATAACTTCCAGGGCAGAGTCTGAGCCATCTCTGGGCCTTTCTTTCAAGCCCCATCCTTGAGGCAAATCAAAGTTCAACTCTGCGAGGGACTGGAATGTTTTGAAGAGTAACTTCAGATTTGGTACTGAAAGTTTCTTCTTTGGTATTACGAGATCATGAGAAAAAGCAGCACCATCACTCCCTAGAGAACCACTCCTCCTCTGTTAGATGTAGGGATAGTGGTTCCAGCAGGGATTGACAGCAAAGAGCCATCAGCTACCGAGGTAGGTTGTTAGAAGAAGGAAGGGATTCTAGGTAAACTGTTCCTTTAACAATGAACTTCCAGGAAAAACACCGCCTTTTAGATATCATAGCTCCTCTCAGCTCCTTCTTTCATTGGACTGTTGTAAAAAGTAATCTTATTTTAGCAATCAGAAATCCAAGACTGACCGAATGCAAGGGCAGTCCTCAACTTCCAGCCATGTGTTGCCAGAGTACACACTCCTTCTCTGGTGTATCCCCCCTTTGCCATTGGGGGTCTCCAGGGGATAGTGTAGAAGCTAATGTGCCTACACCATCCCTGACTTGTTCTTCACAAGGGGCATCCCTAGCTGGGCAGGACCATCAGCTTTCTGACCCATTTTCATGCCAGAATGGGTCTTATGATTGACCCCTACGCTTCTTGTGCCCCTTATATCGTCCAGCAGAAATGGTGAGCTCCAGGTTTCAGTGGCTGACCCGTTCACTCTTGTGTTTTGAAAGGAGGATGTGCAGCAGCATCTTTGCCCCACATTTATCCCTAAAGTGGCCACTGATTTTCATCTGAATGAGGTCACCAAATTTGCCTGACTTCTTCACCAAGCAATGTTCACTGCCAAGGAAGGGTATGCTGCATACTTTAGATCCTAAGATGACCCTTGTTCGCTATCTTAACAGTACAAAATACATCCTTAAATCCTCCAGACTATTTGTGGGTTAAACAAGAAGCAATTTCCTGTGTCAAAATGGGTTAAAACCTGTTTTGAAAGGTTGAATCGATGGATATTCTTGTCCCTGATAAAGACTCATTGGCACTTCTATCTGGAGCTCAGCCTGTACCTTTTACACAGCATTATTCACCTCATTACTCTCAAAATCCAGTTTGAGAAGGGAGTCCTGCTGTCATTTAGTCTTCTCCTCAAATCACTTCTCTTGGGTTTACCACTTGTCAGTCTTCCAAGTGTGGGTATGTGTACTAACAGTGCAAAAAAAGAAAAAGAAAGAAAGAAGGCAAGTTGTTCAACTATACCTCAGTAGATGGAGTACAGATCCACACCCCCATTTTCTATCCCCACTTCTTTTAAGTCTGTTGGATTCCAATGAAGTAGAAGCAAATGAAGGTACATAGGGGATGCACATCTCTTTATAAAGCTTTGCCTGGAATATTTCATATCTCAAGACAAAGCCCACTCATTCCCCACTGATGCAGGTGTTGGTGCAATATATAGACACGTTCGGTGAGCATGGATCTGTGTAACAAGGTACTCAAGGAATGCCAGCTATGGGTGAGTAATTTTCTTTTGTGTGTATTATATTTGTCTTTAAGATATATTAGTGATTATATATAGGCTGACGAATACTGAATAAAATCCCAAGCAGTTATTTTCTGAAAATGACCTAATCTCCATCTAAAACTTCAGGTTCCAAACAGAATCAGTAATCCTATTACATGTTACTATTTTGGTGGTTCAAGTGAAGTAACTGTTACTTCATCTCTAATCATCTCTAAAACTGGTAAAGAGAAAATTATATTCACACTTCCTGTGATTTGCTTCTTGTAGCGATCTATAAGATTTTTATAGCAGTTTTTATTTTGTTTCTCCAGGGAGAAACTCATTCGTCTTCAGCATGAGAACAAGATGCTGAAGCTTAACCAAGAAGGTTCCGACAATGAAAAGATTGCCTTGTTGCAGAGCCTGCTAGATGATGCAAATCTACGAAAGAATGAACTGGAGACAGAGAACAGGTAGGAAAATACATTCCTTTGTTCTAATAACTGTTTTTCTAAATATTCGTACACCTTTGTCTTGTGAAGTCTGTTGTCAGCATTACATTACCCAGGTCAAAGAATCTAGTCATTTTGTATCAAAAACCATCTCAGTCCACACACGAGCATACCTAAACCTTTCCAGAATTTGGAGCCTCTATCACTTTTCTATTATAGGTGTAGCTTGGTAGAGCATTCAGGATATTGACACATGCAAGGTCAGAACGGGCAGTCTGTATTGCTTCAGAATCCCCTTCTCCAGTACTGCTACAACAAAAGATGATCCTGCATCCTCTCTACTACCCTTCTTTTCCCCTCTTCATTTCCCACCCATTCTTCCATCTCCTCCTTCCATTTGTCTTTTTGAAGACATTACAAGTATCTCCAAAAGGAAAGACCGATAAATATTGTTGCCAGTTGTTAGAGATTGTCAAGTTGATTTAGGTTTTGTAAAATGAAGATTTTACATAAGTTTAGAGCAATAGAAATGTTTTCATGAGTTTTTAAATAATTCCAGGGAAATTATTAGAATTTGGACATTATCCTGCCATAGTTGCAGCTCAAACATTGCAATATATACCAGTATCAGGGACGCGCCTTTTCCACCCTACCGTGAGGTTGTGCACCTGTCTTAAAAGTGTAGGTTAGATGTGGGACCTCTTTTGGTGGTCCGACCTTAAAGGTTGATGGAACACAGTGAGTTTCCTGGTAACTTTGTGAGCAAATACTGTTCTACCAACTGACCATGCTCTCGATAGTTTAGTAGGACATAGGACTTCATAATAATCTCAAGACTGTATGCTATTATTATATAGGAGGTAAAGAGGGGCTGTTCAGTCTCTGACAGTGGAACTATTCGGGGCTTTTGGTACCTTGATAAATGCTAGTGACCTCCAGGCAGCAAAACTGTCATGTTTTTCTCACTGTGGAGAATTTTCATGTTACTTTGAGGATAAAATCACTGAGATCCAATCTGAGTGGAGGGGAACTGGACCCAGCCCATTGTTGGAAGAGGTCCGTGCTCAAGAAACCCCTTCTGATCATGACTACATGCTAATG